GTCCACGTCCACGTCCACGTCCACGTCCACGTCCACGTCTATGTCCACGTCCAGGTCCACGTCCACGTCCACGTCCACGTCCACGTCCACGTGTCCACGTCCACGTCCACGTCCACGTCCACGTCCACGTCCACGACCACGTCCACGTCCACGTCCACGTCCGCGTCCGCGTCCGCGTCCGCGTCCGCGTCTGCGTCCGCGTCTGCGTCCCCGTCCCTGTCCACGTCCACGTCCATGTCCTTCATGTCCACGTCCACGTCCACGTCCACGTCCATGTCCTTCACGTCCACGTCCACGTCCACATCCACGTCCATCTCCACGTCCACGTCCACGTCCACGTCCACGTCCACGTCCACGTCCACATCCACGTCCATCTCCACGTCCACGTCCACGTCCACGTCCATCTCCACGTCCACGTCCACGTCCACGTCCATGTCCACGTCCACGTCCACGTCCACGTCCACGTCCACGTCTATGTCCACGTCCATGTCCACGTCCACGTCCATGTCGACGTCCACGTCCACGTCCACGTCCACGTCCACGTCCACGTCCACGTCCACGACCACGTCCACGTCCACGTCCATGTCCACGTCCACGTCCACGTCCACGTCCACGTCCACGTCCACGTCCACGTCCACGTCCAAGTCCACGTCCACGTCCACGTCCACGTCCACCTCCACGTCCACGTCCACCTCCAAGTCCACGTCCACCTCCACGTCCACCTCCACGTCCACGTCCACCTCCACGTCCACGTCCACGTCCACGTCCAAGTCCACCTCCACGTCCAAGTCCACGTCCACGTCCACGTCCACGTCCACGTCCACAACCACGTCCACGTCCACGTCCACGTTTACGTCCACGTCCACGTTTACGTCCACGTCCAGGTCCACGTCCAGGTCCACGTCCACGTTTACGTCCACATCCACGTCCATGTCCAGGTCCACGTCCACGTCCACGTCCACGTCCACGTCCACGTCCACGATCACGTCCACGTCCACGTCCACGTCCACGATCACGTCCACGTCCACGACCATGTCTTCGTCCACGTCCACGTCCACGTCCACGTCCACGACCATGTCTTCGTCCACGTCCACGTCCACGTCCACGTCCACGACCATGTCTTCGTCCACGTCCACGTCCACGTCCACATCCACGTCCATGTCCTCGTCCAAGTCCTCCACGTCCACGTCCACGTCCACGTCCACGTCCATGTCCACGTCGTCCACGTCCATGTCCATGTCCACGTCCTCCACGTCCACGTCCATGTCCACGTCCTCCACATCCACGTCCACCTCCACGTCCACGTCCACATCCACGACCACGTCCATGTCTATGTCCACGTCCACGTCCATGTCCACGTCCACGTCCACGTCCACGTCCACGTCCATGTCCACGTCCACGTCCACGTCCATGTCCACGTCCATGTCCACGTCCACGTCCATGTCCACGTCCACGTCCACGTCCACGTCCACTAGAGGGAATCTAACGGTCTCACTCGATCAGAAGGTGGGAAATATATCAATCTAGTCAGCTAAAAAGGTTTGAAATGTATTCAACGCACATGTATAGAGAAAATGGTGCATTGGCCAGGTCGGTCAGTATGGGAACTTAGAGTGCAAATGCCTGGGAGAACGGAACCGCTCAGATGTCGCATAATACACGGAATCTAGTGGTCTCACTCAAATATAAGGTAGGAAATATATTCATCTAGTGAACGTAAGGGTTGGAAAGGTAACTAACGCACATGTGTAGAGAGAATGGTGCATCGGCGAGTCTGGCCGGCATTTCTCACTCATAGTGCAGGTGGGGCCAGGGAGAACGGAAACGCTCGTTTCTCAAAAAGTAGAGGGAATCTAACGGTCTCACTCGATCAGAAGGTGGGAAATATATAAATCTAGTCAGCTAAAAATGTTTGAAATGTATTCAACGCACATGTATAGAGAAAATGGTGCATTGGCCAGGTCGGTCAGTATGGGAACTTAGAGTGCAAATGCCAGGGAGAACGGAAGCGCTCAGATCTCGCATAGTACACGGAATCAAGTGGTCTCACTCAAATAGAAAGTAGGAAATATATTCATCTAGTGAACGTAAGGGTTTGAAAGGTAACTAACGCACATGTGTAGAGAAAATGGTGCATCGGCCAGTCTGGCCGGCATTTCGCACTTATAGTGCAAGTAGGGCCAAGTAGAACGGAAACGCTCATTTCTCAAAAAGTAAAGGGAATCTAGCGGTCTCACTCAATCAGAAGGTGGAAAATATATAAATCTAGTGAGCTAATAAGGTTCGGAAGGAATCTAATGCATATGTATATGGAAAATGGTGCATTGGCCAGGTCGGTCAGTATGGGAACTTAGAGTGCAAATGCCAGGGAGAACGGAACCGCTCAGATCTCGCATAATACACGGAATCTAGTGGTCTCACTCAAATGTAAGGTAGGAAATATATTCTAGTGAACGTAAGGGTTTGAAAGGTAACTAACGCACATATGTAGATAAAATGGTGCATCAGCGAGTCTGGCCGGCATTTCGCACTCATAGTGCAGGTGGGGCCAGGGAGAACGGAAACGCTCGTTTCTCAAAAAGTAGAGGGAATCTAACGGTCTCACTCGATCAGAAGGTGGGAAATATATAAATCTAGTCAGCTAAAAAGGTTTGAAATGTATTCAACGCACATGTATAGAGAAAATGGTGCATTGGCCAGGTCGGTCAGTATCGGAACTTCAAATGCAAATGCCAGGGAGAACGGAAGCGCTCAGATCTCGCATAGTACACGGAATCAAGTGGTCTCACTCAAATAGAAAGTAGGAAATATATTCATCTAGTGAACGTAAGGGTTTGAAAGGTAACTAACGCACATGTGTAGAGAAACTTGTGCATCGGCCAGTCTGGCCGGCATTTCGCACTTATAGTGCAACTAGGGCCAAGGAGAACGGAAACGCTCATTTCTCAAAAAGTAGAGGGAATCTAGCGGTCTCACTCGATCAGAAGGTGGGAAATATATAAATCTAGTGAGCTAATAAGGTTTGAAAGGAATCTAATGCATATGTATATGGAAAATGGTGCATTGGCCAGGTCGGTCAGTATGGGAACTTAGAGTGCAAATGCCAGGGAGAACGGAAGCGCTCAGATCTCGCATAGTACACGGAATCTAGTGGTCTCACTCAAATAGAAAGTAGGAGATAAATTCATCTAGTGAACGTAAGGGTTTGAAAGGTAACTAACGCACATGTGTAGAGAAGATGGTGCATCGGCCAGTCTGGCCGGCATTTCGCACTTATAGTGCAAGTAGGGCCAAGGAGAACGGAAACGCTCATTTCTCAAAAAGTAAAGGGAATCTAGCGGTCTCACTCGATCAGAAGGTGGGAAATATATAAATCTAGTGAGCTAATAAGGTTCGGAAGGAATCTAATGCATATGTATATGGAAAGCGGTGCATTGGCTAGGTCGGTCAGTATGGGAACTTAGAGTGCAAATGCCAGTGAGAACGGAACCGCTCAGATCTCGCATAGTATACGGAATCTAGTGGTCTCACTCAAATGGAAGATAGGAAATAAATTCATCTAGTGAACGTAAGGGTTTGAAAGGTAACTAACGCACATGTGTAGAGAAAATGGTGCATCGGCCAGTCTGGCCGGCATTTCGCACTCATAGTGCAGGTGGGGCCAGGGAGAACGGAAACGCTCGTTTCTCAAAAACTGGAGGGAATCTAACGGTCTCACTCGATCAGAAGGTGGGAAATATATAAATCTAGTCAGCTAAAAAGGTTTGAAATGTATTCAACGCACATGTATAGAGAAAATGGTGCATTGGCCAGGTCGGTCAGTATCGGAACTTAAAATGCAAATGCCAGGGAGAACGGAAGCGCTCAGATCTCGCATAGTACACGGAATCTAGTGGTCTCACTCAAATAGAAGGTAGGAAATATATTCATCTAGTGAACGTAAGGGTTTGAAAGGTAACTAACGCACATGTGTAGAGAAAATGGTGCATCGGCCAGTCTGGCCGGCATTTCGCACTTATAGTGCAAGTAGGGCCAAGGAGAACGGAAACGCTCATTTCTCAAAAAGTAAAGGGAATCTAGCGGTCTCACTCGATCAGAAGGTGGGAAATATATAAATCTAGTGAGCTAATAAGGTTTGAAAGGAATCTAATGCATATGTATAAGGAAAATGGTGCATTGGCCAGGTCGGTCAGTATGGGAACTTAGAGTGCAAATGCCAGGGAGAACGGAACCGCTCAGATCTCGCATAGTACACGGAATCTAGTGGTCTCACTCAAATAGAAGGTAGGAAATAAATTCATCTAGTGAACGTAAGGGTTTGAAAGGTAACTAACGCACATGTGTAGAGAAAATGGTGCATCGGCCAGGCTGGCAGGCATTTCGCACTTATAGTGCAAGTAGGGCCAAGGAGAACGGAAACGCTCATTTCTCAAAAAGTAAAGGGAATCTAGCGGTCTCACTCGATCAGAAGGTGGGAAATATATAAATCTAGTGAGATAAAAAGGTTTGAAAGGAATCTAGTGCATATGTATATGGAAAATGGTGCATTGGCCAGGTCGGTCAGTATGGGAACTTAGAGTGCAAATGCCAGGGAGAACGGAAGCGCTCAGATCTCGCATAGTACACGGAATCTAGTGGTCTCACTCAAATAGAAGGTAGGAAATAAATTCATATAGTGAACGTAAGGGTTTGAAAGGTAAATAACGCACATGTGTAGAGAAAATGGTGCATCGGCCAGTCTGGCCGGCATTTCGCACTTATAGTGCAAGTAGGGCCAAGGAGAACGGAAACGCTCATTTCTCAAAAAGTAAAGGGAATCTAGCGGTCTCACTCGATCAGAAGGTGGGAAATATATAAATCTAGTGAGCTAATAAGGTTTGAAAGGAATCTAATGCATATGTATATGGAAAATGGTGCATTGGCCAGGTCGGTCAGTATGGGAACTTAGAGTGCAAATGCCAGGGAGAACGGAAGCGCTCAGATCTCGCATAGTACACGGA